GAATTTGGAGTACCTTCAGGTGAAGATTTCCTCACCAGGTTTCGGCGACGGCTTGTCGTGGGATAAGCTTGAGGGTTTGAAAGAGCTCGAGCTTACGAAAGTCCCTAAGCGATCTTCGGCTTTGACCTTTCTGACCGAGATTTCCGGGCTCAAGTGCTTGACAAGGCTCTCTGTTTGTCACTTCTCGATTAGGTGAAAAGCTTACTCCTTTTATCTTCTATTGCTTCAGTTCCAGCTTCTCAATGCTTCTTATACTACGTAGCATTTATAACTCAAGCAGGTGGTGGCTTTTGACACTTTCGGTTGTGGATCCGTGTAGGATTTCCAGGAAACGTAAGTTAGGAAGTGATTGATTGTGATACGTTTCGTGGCTGCTTAATGCAGTGTTTTTAGCATTCTTAATGTGATTACTTTTCTTTCTTGCTTTTGATGTTCAATTAGATTTCTAGATTGTTATGACGAAAATATGTGAAATTGGTTACACTTTGGAATTGGGTAGGATATTCACTACATTGGACTGGTTTTAACTCTGTCTCCCACTTGTTGTAGATATCTTCCCGCGGAGATTGGATGTCTCAAGAGCCTGGAGTATCTGGATCTCTCCTTTAACAAAATCAAGAGTTTGCCTAACGAGATAGGTTATCTGAGTTCATTAATGTTCTTGACGGTTGCTCACAACAGGCTTATGGAGCTACCACCGGTTTTAGCTTTACTACAAAACTTAGAAAGCCTGGACGTATCAAACAACCGATTGACATCACTAGATTCTCTCGATTTAAGCTTGATGCCTAGGCTTCAAATTTTAAATTTACAGGTAATTATCTCTCCGATTTCTCACAACAACTGTTAAAATATTTGGATATATACTCTCCCTGTGACAAAAAAAAATGTGACATTTCTATAGGAGTTCACAGATTTTTAATCTGACAAAGCTTCTTGGATTTTCTGTTGTTTGAAGTGCAATAAGCTCCCAAGTTATTGCTGTATTCCCACGTGGATTCAGTGTAATTTGGAAGGAAACTATGAAGCAATGGGGGTTGATACTTGTAGCAGCTCCATGGTTGAAATGGATGTATATGAAGCCCCATACGAGAACAATGTTATAAGTGTTCCTCATAAAGGTTGGAGTTTAATGTTTCTTTCCTGTGTATGAATATATATCTGAGAGTATGATACTCTTTTATTTTTAACGTTTGATTTTTCTTACTGAATGGTGCATTCTCTGTTTCCACGTGGGTGCAGGCTCCCACCGTAACCAATTAAATATATCAACTGGGGTCTCTTCCATCAGTAGATGCTTTTCGGCTCGAAAATCAAGTAAGAGGTGGAAACGGAGACAGCATTACTTCCAGCAAAGGGCAAGGCAAGAGCGTTTGAACAACAGCAGGAAATGGAAAGGTGAAGTCCCTCCCGAAGGATTAAGTCTGAAGATGGAAGTCGAAGAAATTGGGAAACAGGGCATGAATGTTCCACAGAACACTGACAAAAGTTTAGTTGATAGCATCTGCGTGGATGACAATGATAAACTGTCAGAAGAGGCTTCTGTCATTACTTCTGATGAGGAAAAGAGCCGTCTTAAAGCTAATTTTGTTTCTAAAAGTTCCCGATGTGTGGAATCCCATACGAGTGAAAGGGAGAACAATAAAAGTTGTGAGATCAAGGCATCTTCGACCTCTTCAGCAGATGCACCTAGTACTGCAGACTATAATTCTTCTTCAGATAGGAAGAAACCAAATCTCAAGTCGAAGCGATGTAATGAGAAGTATCTAGATAACCCAAAAGGCTCTAAATGCCATAGACCATCTACTGAGATTTCTAATTTATCGCACAAATACAGCAAAAGCTCATTTTGCAGCACAGAAGATTCTCTTCCTGACGGCTTTTTTGATGCTGGACGTGATAGGCCCTTTATGCCTCTTAGTAGATACGAGGAAATTTTGCCTCTTGATTCACGTGAAGTTATACTCTTGGACAGGTAATTACTATCACTTTTAGTTATATGGACTAGAACTATTATTTATATCTATCCATGAGCTAAAGCTGACTCTGCCCTTTTTCGTATGTTTAAAGGGCAAAGGATGAAGTGTTGGATGCAATCACTCTCTCTGCTCGAGCCTTGGTTGCTAGATTGAAGAAATCGAACTGTTTAACTGCAGATGTGGATCAAGTTTCCATCGAGAACTTGCAAGTTGCATCATTTCTTGCCCTTTTTGTATCGGATCACTTTGGGGGAAGTGACAGAACTGCTATTGTTGAAAGAACCCGAAAGGCTGTATCTGGTACAAACTACCAGAAACCCTTTATTTGCACCTGCTTGACCGGTAACCAACATGAGTTGGCTGCTCTCAACAAACATGTCTCTACAATGGCTGAAGATGTCATTTTGTCTGATGTGTGTGAAAAATCCTTGCGGTCGATTAAGTCCAAGCGGAAATCTATAGTAGTTCCTCTAGGGAAACTGCAATTTGGCATCTGTAGACACAGGGCCTTGCTCATGAAGGTACTCAAATTTTTCTAATGCTTTTGGATATCTGAACCCTTTGGTTTTTGTTTAGTCAATTGCTAATATCTGTTTCTTGTATTTTGTTTCTAGTACCTTTGTGATCGCATGGAGCCTCCTGTACCTTGTGAGCTTGTTAGAGGTTATTTAGATTTCATGCCACATGCATGGAACATTGTTCCTGTAAAGCAAGGTTCCTCATTGGTTCGTATGGTAGTTGATGCTTGCCGTCCTCATGATATCAGGAAAGATACAGATCACGAATATTTCTGCAGGTATAAGATTTTGCAACTTTCTCTTGTTATTAATTTATATTGTCTACTATAATATTAGTTACTGTCTACTAGATTCTGTAATCTTGACTCATTCCCTTTTGATGCCTAATGTAGTGTGATCTTTTCTTTTTGCTGTCAATTATGTGCAAGTGTCATGTTAGAGATTAGGCTACATGATTGTGCAGTTGTATACAAACAAACAAATAGCCCACTGTGTTTAATTCTTCTTATAGTTGTAAACGTTACCTTTATATGGTCAATCTCTTAAAAAATTATTGTTGATTTGAAAATATAATACAGTTTTGTGTTGAGTGACCCATCTCTTTGGTGAATATTCTGATTGCCACAGGTACATTCCCCTAAATCGGCTAAACGAATCCATTCGCACAAAGGAAAATTTGGAACCAGGATGTTCTGTTTCTTCTCTATCAACGGGCAAAGGAGTAGAAAGAGCTAATAGTAGTCTTATCCGATGCAAGCTTGGCTCCACTGATGCAGCTGTGAAGGTTTTGTTTTTACCTTTTGTAGTCTCTGTCTGTTTCATAATTGAGTAAATTTACTGAATAGATTAGTTTCTTATTTTCTCAGATGCGTACATTAGAGGTTTCTGGAGCTTCCTTAGATGACATTAGGACATTTGAGTATACTTGCCTAGGAGAAGTGCGGATTTTAGGAGCTTTGAAACATGACTGCATTGTGGAGTTATATGGACATGAGATATCTTCCCAGTGGATAACCTCAGAAAATGGAATTGAACATCAACGCATATTGCAATCTTCTATTCTGATGGAACACATAAAAGGCGGATCTCTGAAGGTAAAATTCTTTTTTCTCAGTTTATGTTGGATGTCTTTATAACCTCAATTAAAAACTTCTAAATGGTTTTATTGCACTCAGGGTCACATTGAGAAGCTCTCAGAAGCTGGTAAGCACCATGTTCCGATGGATCTAGCTTTGTCTATTGCAAGAGATATCTCAGGGGCTTTAATGGAGCTGCACTCGAAGGATATAATTCACCGCGACATAAAAAGCGAAAACGTTTTGATCGATCTGGACAATCAAACTGCAAACGGAGAACCCATTGTGAAGCTTTGTGATTTTGATAGAGCTGTTCCACTTAGGTCTCACTTGCACGGATGCTGTATTGCCCATGTGGGAATACCTCCCCCTAATATTTGTGTTGGTACGCCACGATGGATGTCACCTGAAGTCTTCAGAGCAATGCACGAACAAAACTTTTACGGACTTGTACGTTCTCTAAACACTGATTCTCTTGTTCACCAAAGCTTATCTTTACTTGTCTTTTTGGTTATGAGTTTGCTTCTGTTTTCGCAGGAAGTAGATATCTGGTCATTTGGTTGCTTAATCTTTGAGTTGTTGACACTACAAAATCCATATTTTGATTTATCTGAACATCAGATTCATGAATCACTACAGGTTTGTCTCACTTTCACTGACATGATCAAGATCTTGTTAATATTGTGATTTTAATTTGTTTGTTGTAATCTTACTCTTAACCAGAAGGGCAAAAGACCAAAGCTTCCAGAGAAACTAGAGACATTGAGCTCTGAAACAGAGGAAGACGAATCAACAAACAAACTCTGTGAGGAGTTTGACTTAACCGAATCTGACTTAGATACAATGAGATTTCTTATCGACGTGTTTCACCAGTGCACTGAAGGGTCTCCTTTAGATCGTCTAAACGCAGGAGAGCTCCATGAAATGATTCTTTCTTGGACAAAAAGAAAGAGTAAAACTCCTAAAGGTACTTCCACTTCTTCACAAAGCTCAAGCCTTTAGAAGGCTTTGAAGCTTAAAAAGAGAGAGAAGATAGAAATTTTTTGGTCTCAGTCTCATAAGATTAGATTCATGGCCAACAATTTGGGTCCAAAGCTTCATAAGCTTAAGGGAACCATAGATCTATAGGTGGTAATTCTTTCTTGTAACCTTGTTTGTTTCTTCATTTTGTAACCTCTCACTGTTCTTATAGTGTATCATTCGATTTGTAGACATCATTGTATCATTATTCTTCAAAGTTTTTTTATCTATTTAAACAGAGGCATGTGAACACCGTATAATCATATATATATTTAAGGATCTATTCTTGATTGCGGGCTTTTTGTAAGATGAGGTTACGACAATGTGTCTTCTACTACAGTTAAGTTTTTTCTTGGCAAGTATTCTCTATAGACATGACTTTTTTTTTATAATTACACAATACGACATTAAAAACGAATGAACAAACTCTTTTATAGAATCCGTTATCTTTGTACAATACATCTTTTGACGTGATATATGGATTGAAGATATTTGACTTTTGAGATATATGTGATGGGGATCATATTATACATGAAAACAAAACAAAAAGCAACTATCGAGGTTCCGACGAAGACGTCACCGGTGATATCCTTGGAACCGGCACGGGGAATTCATGAATCTCATCGATCCATGGATTAGTCTTCTCCTTGGACGGATTAATAGTTCTCAAAGCTCTCCAAACCGCACTATTACACTTAAACCCCGATCCAAAAGCAATCTGCCAAGTCCTATCTCCTCTCTTGATCCTCCCTTTAGCCTCACTATAAGCAAGCTCATACCAAAGCGAGCTACTCGAAGTATTACCAAAGCGGTTCAAAGTCATCCTCGAAGGTTCCATATGCCACTCAGAAAGATCTAAGTTCTTCTCAATCTCATCGAGCACTGCTCTGCCTCCTGCGTGGATGCAGAAGTGCTCGAAGGCTAGCTTGAAATCAGGAATATAAGGTTTGATTTTCTTGACATTAAAGACTTTCCGGGCGACCAGTGTTGCGAAAAAGAGAAGTTGTTCGGACATTGGTAGGACTAGTGGTCCGAGTGTCGTTATGTTCGTTTTAAGAGCTTCTCCGGCGATAGCCATTAGGTTTTTGGAAAGTGAGACACCGATTTGTTTGTTGTCGTCGTTGTCTTCACGTTGGTAAACGCAGTTGAAGGCGTTGTCATCAGCTCCTTTGTGTGTTCGGACAGTGTGGATGAGTTGATATTTGGAGCGGCGGCGGTCCGAGGAGCGATTAGAAAGGAGCACGGCGGCGCCGCCCATTCGGAAGATGCAGTTTGAGAGAAGCATCGATCGGTCGTTGCCTAAGTACCAGTTTAGGGTTATATTTTCTGTGCTCACTACTAGTGCATATGAGTTTGGTTGAACCTGCATGCATATTACAATTGAATAATTAATTAGTGCCTAAACGCAAGTAAATATAAATGTATGTGCATATATACAAGTAAAAAAAATATCAAGTCATTACATATGTATGTGTATGTGAATGTGTGTACGTATATATGTCAACATTTTTGGATTTCTGATCTGGTTTGTATTGTTTTTGTTTTTATGTATTTAAAGAAAAATTGTTTACAGTTTTGCTTTTTTTTATTGTTATGAATAAACTAATTTACTTGGAAAATGAAATATAACGAAACTTGCAGAACACTTGCATGGCACCATATGTGAGACCTTACGTGTATTGATTATTTATGAAACTTATACTCCTAGAATTGGTGGTATTTGTTCAACAAACCTTTCCTCGATTAAACATAATTTAAGCAAGCAGCCAAGCATGACACGTCACCTATTAATTTGGTATAAATATTAATAGGCACTTATGAGAATTTTTTATCTTAATTAATGTTGACAACAGACTAGTTAAATAATATAAGTTTAAATTGATCTTACATATCATTGTTGTCATGATTCTTTTCTTCTAACTGTATAACGGGAAAATGAATGATTGAAGATTTTTATTTTATTGTTCCCTTAAGAAAGGATTAGCTAATGTATATCACTTTGATTTAGTCTTATTACTTTTATAATTTATACTGCAAGAAAAAAAAAATATTACTATTAATCTATTATCAGTCACATTTGTACAAAACTTTTGGCGGATGTCAAACGTTTCTCGAGCTTTATCTACCCTAACAAAACAAAAAAACTATGGTGATTCTACATATATATTTCCGACAGGATCTTACCAAGACATGCACTTTGGATTGACCGTAACATGCATATGTGTACTCTAGTGTTTGTAAGTAGTAAGTACTGTATACTAAATCAAAATGTATATTAGCAATGAAGACAATCTATAATTGTTCAATTTTCACAACTACCACCAACCTACAAAATAAGCCTAGCACAAACTTCATTAAAGGTACACGTACGTGCTCATAAAAGACGCTAGAGCTTTTATACCATCTCTTCATATAAGATCAGTAGCCAAAAATATGATATAGATAATGACATGCCGTGAAGAAAACTAGAAAAGTCCCACCCTCCCTACCCAAATAAAATTAAATGTTTTCCTTGTCACGAAATTCGTATTTGTTATCGGATGGTTCAATTGAATCTTAGTATAAAAAAAACAAAAAAAGAGTTGTAAATTTGTAATGAAATGACTTAATGAATTACCTGAAGAAGCTGTTTAGCGAGGTCAATGGAGATAAGACCGGCACTACAACCCATTCCACCAAGATTATAGCTCAGAATGTTTCCTCTAAGCTTATATTTATTCACGATCATAGCCGATAAAGAAGGCGTGGGATTAAACAAGCTACAATTCACCACAAGTATTCCAATATCCTTAGGCTTCACACCGGTTTTTTCAAGCACTGCGTCTATAGCTCCAAACATAACCGTCTCGGCTTCTTTCCTCGCCTCGGACATACATGGATTCGGCGGGACACGCAAAAGAGCCTCCGGGAAGTAAGTCTTTTGACCAAGACCAGAACGTTCGAGAATCTTTTGTTGGAAAGCGAGGTTGTCTTCCGTGAAGATACCGACACGTTGAGACCGGTCCATGAACGTTTCTCGTGTGCATATTAGAGAAGAGTCGGGTTTGTAACAAGCAAAATCGAGGAGGAAAATTTTGCGAGGACGGGTTGTGAAGTAGAGGGTGGTAAGAAAGATAAGAAGAGCAGCAAAGAGAGTAGAAGATAGGAAGTGGGAACTGAGGAGGTGGTTGAATAAGAGAGTGAGATCGGAGAGACTGAAGGAAGAGGTTGCGGCGAGGAGGACGGGGAGGAGGATGATGTAGACAGCGTTAGAGATTAGGTAATGGTAACCGAGTTTGACGTATTTGAGGCGTACCGATAAGAGGAAGTTTGGGAGATTATTGCTTGTTACATGAATGGTATTGTTCATGTGATTCTCATTCATGGTTGGTCTTCTTGGTTTTTAAATGTGATTAAGAGTAACAACAACACCAACAAAATTAAGAAAAAAAAGAGAGGATTTAGTGTATAAACGTAGAGATAGAGGAGATAACTTATGGCCTAAAAAAAGTTGGAGTATAATTGGGAATTTATAAGCAAAGGTCTTTTAGAAAGAGAAGGAGGCAAAATTAATAAATGTACGTGTTTATGGGTGCGTATACTCCTTAATGGTTATTGTTGTGGCGGTGAGCTAACTCTATTCATTAGTTCCGTTTTGACCGATCATGTTCTTTTTTTTTTTTAATATATATACGAAATAATTCAATCATTCTACTATTTTACGGATAGGTTATGTATTTCCCTCTTGATCCATTGCTTCGATTAGTTTATATTATTGACGAGAATTTTATTTTATTTTATTATTCTCCCAACTGTTAAGGAACTATATATATATGAGAAATAAATTTCGTGGAGTACTAGCTAGTACGTGTTATTTAATTAATATCCATTCATTTACAAGGAGTGGATGTGCATGCATTCATTAATATTGAGTATAAGAAAACAATAAGTTGAGATGCATATTATACAGTATATATATATTGACGTGTCTAGCTAAAATGATTTTAATGAAAACTATACATAAAAAGAAGAAAATGGAACTATATAGTATAAAAAACATTTTCTTATATAGGAAGGGATAATTCGTAGTAGGAGGAAAAGGATACAACAAACTCTAACCAAAACCTAACTCCAATCAATTTGTTTATTCGCCTTATGAATTCGTCAAACACCCTTGAAATTGACTCTTTTATTTTCTATTTTGCCACTAATTCCTTCTATTTTGGGAACAATTAATCTTTTTAAAACATGTAAGATTCTCCTTTGTATTTGTAAATTGTAGGGTCTTTTTCATAACATGCATGCATGCATACACAGATTCATTGAAATGTCAATAACATCAGAAAGTTAATTAAGTATTTAGAGAGGTGATTCATAAAAGACGTGAAAGATAAAATATAAAGGAATAAAAACTATGAATCAATCCTTTCAAGTGAAAATGCATTGAGTTCAATCAGTTTGTATGTCACTAATCGCTTTCGTTATCAACACCGAGATCACCATTATTGTGTCTTAAATCATTCTTATCATCAATCTGATTATGATTTTTTTTTTGTTGATTATATATGATCTTAAGTATGAAGTTATACTGATTTATTATTCGTTACGATTTCTTACAAATTTATATCAAAACAGTTCAACGTGATAAGTTTGTCATAATTGTGTCCACACGTTCTTTTTTTCTTTTTTTGCTGTCGTCGTAATTGCCCACACACTTTATAAAATTATAGTTGTTTTGCGTGCTTCATGAGATTTGGCATATATATTACTAATGTATGATGATATATTATAAGATATAGTTGTGAATGGCGTGACGAAGAAAGATTGAAAGATAAGTCACCCAAAACTATAAATGGCGAAGAACTTCTAACCTAACAGAGCTATTCTCCCAAGAAACGATTCGTGGAAGAACCATTATTTTTATAATGTCCACCCTAGCTATTAATTTATATATTCGATCATTATATATTGCCTTATTAAATCTATTGTAAATTCTTTTAGCGTATATTAGTATATTGTAGCTACCATATACAAGAAAGCTTTAGCATCAATGAAAGCGCAGCACTTAATTATGTACGTATAACTTAAGCTTCTCAACACCCAACTACTTAGTCCTTAGCAACATTTACAAGTTTGGCAGACATCTTAATATAGTTAGCAGTTAGGGATCAATTTATCAATGATTCGTATTGATGACACACTCAATGTTTGAACATACTACAGTTTTGTTGGTGCAATTGTAATAACAAAACACTGATTTTTTTCAGTATAGTAAAGTTATTAATTGGGGAAAGAAAAAAAAACAAACCTCAAACCCTGCGCTCGGTTTGAGAAAATTTGTGAAACGTACCGGTTTGTCAATTTCTATAAAACGCGTCGTTTTTGCAGTTTTATGAAACGCACCGTTTTGTGGTACTTCACTCCCAGTTGAAACTTGAGACCGTATGTATTGCTGTAGTTAATGGTGGTGGTGGTGACTTTGCTGCTTGCTAGTTTTCTAAGGTTTGGTAATCACTTCGGCGATGGTGCACGGCGGATATGCCAAGCGGAGGGTTGCGGAGCGTAATACGACGACGGCAGGAAATAGTCGGAGGTCAAAGGGATTACGTGTTGAGAAGAAACCCAAGAATTCGTCTCTCAAAAATCAAATTCGTTCCATCGGCCGTATGATTCGTAAAGTAATGACCACTCTTCTTCTCTTCCGGCGAAATTAGGTTTTATGGTTGCCTTCTCCGACCCTTTTTTGTTTAGGGAACTTGTTTCTAATTTTAGATGATTATATATATATATATGATTTGATTTGGAGAGGCAATTATATGTTTCCAGTTATTAAGTTTTGAACGAGGCAGAGATGAACCTTTGATGTGTTCAATACAATTTGCCTCTAGGATCTTCCTCCTGAAGTAAGAGAGTCTCTAAATAAAAAGTTGGATGATCTGAAGAAGCAGCATGATGTACATAGCCGTCTTGCTGTTGAACGCAATATCTTCCTAAGAAACAGAAAGATCAGATTCTTTGGTGAGATGATGTTATCTTTGAGTTGATGAATTGGATTGTTTGAGTTGTTTTACCCCTGATTGATTTTTCACTTGATCTGAAAAGATATATAATTACATCTTTCTTTTGAGTAGAGCGGAGGAAGATTGAAAGGAGCGTAAGACGTCTTGAGAAGCTACAACGGAATGTTCATGTGCAAGATGCAGATATTGGTGGGCAACTCAATAAACTCAAAGAAGATCTTGAATATGTTAGGGTAAGCATCTTGTCCTCTGCTAAATTTACTAGTTATCCAGTAGAATGAGTCAGTTTAACTGCTACTAACATCTTGCTCTGTGCAATGCAGTTCTTCCCCAAGAATGAGAAGTATGTACCGCTCTTTAGTGGAGGTGATGATTTACAAGTATCTGATCGGAGAAGTAAATTGCGGAAGCAAATCAAAGCCAATATAATTGTTGCTGCTGCCACTGGGAAAGAGTTGGAAGGTATTGATGATATTTGCCAATGTTTATATAGTGCCCTTCTCCCTTAGTTTTTTGTTTAAAACTGGGGCAGTATGCTTTTTTTCTTCGTTGCATGCATTCCGACCTTCTCTTTGCTTTTGAAATTGTGTTGATTACGTCTTTGATCATTTGATTTTTCTTTTTCCCCGTGGAGAAACAGAGACAGGGAGCGAAGATGATGCACTTTTGGACCTCAGTGATGATGACTTCTTTGTCAACGGAAGCTCAAGTGACGAAGCAGATGCGGACGATGAGTGGACTGATAAAAGCACAAAGTAGGCCTTGTAAAATTGTGCAATAGTTTCTCTACACCTCAATACTTCTAAGTGTAGTTTCTAAACATTAGTGTATAACATGGGAGATGAAGAAAGTCAACGCAACTAGTGGTGTATTCACCTCTGAATTCCATTATGCTATTATTCTTGCGCAATATGTTGATTCTTCACTTTCTTTCTATAGGCTTAAAGTGTACCAGTGAAGATTATTTCTGACTGTTGTCAGCCTTTTTTCTTTCCCAGGGAGCCGGTTTCTGATGCTTTTGGCAGAGCAACATCAAGCATGTCCAGTGATGAAAGAAATCAGGTACGATGCGAAAGTACTCACAGTCTTGTTGTTTGCATGATAATGGGGACTTTAATACGCATAAAAGTCAGAAACGTTGCATGGTCAATTCCAGGGTGATCAAAGTATATGAAACTGAAGTGTTAATGTTGCTAAAGTTAGTATTTGGTAAGTGATTCCTTTTGTTTTATTGTAGAAGCCGTACACTACTAGGGTTGTAATGCCACCACAACTTTCAAGATTTGCATCAACATCTTGTATGTATTCATCTGTGATGAGGAATGAGATTCCTTCCTCCAGCAACACCTCACATAGAAGAAGCCAGAATTTACATGCTGCCACAAGTTTGCATACAAGTGAGAGTAGCAACTTGAGTTCTAACTCTGATGCTCACAAATCTAAGAGGAAGAGAAGACCTAAGAAAAAGAAGCAACATGTGAGTTTCTCTCTACTCTTCCGGTAACTCTGTTTCTTCTTTGTGGAAAATCTGATTGGTACTTGAATCAATCTTCCAAACGATAAAATTCAAAGAATATGTGTTAGACTTGGGAAGCTGATTATTTATTTATTTATTTATTATATCTGCTATTGCAGGCGTGAACGGGTTCTCTGCAGTTCATCCATTCGAAGAGCTTCACTCATGATTAGGACCCGCCTTGTCTTACACTCTCTGAAATGCGTATCTTAAATCGGTATATATATATAAATATATAAATATTTCTTTGTGGTCATGAAGGCAGAGAGATAGGTTCTACTGTTTTTGGCTCATGATATGAACCCTAAACCTTGGCCTAAACGCTTACCCCTTTGAGATAAGCACTTTTTTTAATACTGTTCTGTCTACAGGGTGGCTTTGATCGAATAGAACCAATTAATGGGACTGATCCAATCCAACAAGAGTCTGATCTCAGATTTAGAATCAAAGCAAAAAACTGGAATTACTTGAAAATCTTCATTAATCAATGAGAACACAAAACAGACTGCTACAATCAGTAGAAGAAATCGGAACAATCTGCGTAACACATTTTTTAATGTCATACACATAATCTGCTTAAGACCATTAAGCATGTCTACATTTACTTTACCGATGAGGTAAAACAAGGCAATGACTTGGATTCAATCCGATGAACATAGATCTTGCCCACGAACCCGACAACCCGAGCACAAAGAGAGACTTCTCTTGACCAAGAGAAACTCTGTTTTCTTCAGGTTCTTGTGTCCCCTGTTAGGTTTCTTGAAGCTTTTGTCTCATACACCACAGCCTAAACCTCTGGCTTCTGATCCTTTCATGATCCTTAGTCTCTTGCAAGTACACACAAACATCCTGCAACAACAAACAAACAAATAAATCTGTAAGAACACTTAACAAATAATCGTTTCTGTTTTTTTCTTTTTGTGAAATTGTTTCTTGACAGATCTATGCAAGACTTACTCCCATGGAACATCTCCAATGAGCATCCAGTCGCCATCTTTGTCTTCGTAAGTGGGCACAAAGTCTGAACCTTTATATCCTTCTCTCTCGAAATACTCTCCCACAGAGAATTTGAACATCACTTCTAAAGCTTTGAGCAATTCTGAGTATCCTTTGTAGCAACTCGGATCTATTTTCCTCAAGTAGGGTGCACCATCCATACTTACTTTCACATAGCTTCCTTGAACCTCGTGATCAGATTCACTCTTCTTTGTCTGAATGTTGTTCTTCCTGTATGATCTAACTGGTGGCCATCCAACAATCTGAGCCCTGCAAAAGGAAGCACTCTGTCAATAATAAACTCTCAAGTTTTTGACCAAATCAGATCCAGAGATGTGTTTGTGTGGTGAAAACATACTTTCGAGGAGGAGATGTTTCGGTCTTCCTCGTTGATGATTCAATCTCATTCTCGAGAGCACTTGGTAATGCTCTCTTGTTGCTAATGTTATTATAACAGCAAGAAACTACCTCTTTTTCTTCACACACATTGTCTGTTCCTGGTAATCCAAGCCTCAGCTCCGTTTCCTTGAGGTTAACAAACTCATCCATTTTAACTCTCTTCTGATTCCTTAAGAGTTGCAGAAAGTTTTTGGTTATATTGCTTCAAGGAGAGGAAAGAAGGAGAGAGAGATAGAGAAGTTGATAATGATGAAGATGAAGATGAGGCTTCGTGGAAGCTGAGTGTTTTGTTTTATAGAAGTTAAAAAGATAGATTGATAGAGAAGGAACTGTTTTTTCTTTAGAATTAAGGACAAAGGAAGAAAAAAGCTAAGCTTGTCGGTAGCAGTAACAGCAACTTTGAGGCAAAAGTGTGTCCCATCCTCTTGGGGGACAATTAATTGGACACATTTTCTCCCATCTGTCCATATTTTAGCCTAAAACAAAACAAAAAATTCTTTACATTATATTAGAGAGACGACGGTCCATATCAAATCTTTCATCCCCACCACATGTGGTATGCCATATGCATATGTCCCCTATCTCTCTTTTGATTCTTTCAGATGACCAATTACTACACTTATTACTTCAGAGAGATATTTACTTATAATTTTTCTCAATAACTCTATATGCATTTCTATCTAGCTTGTGTTCAGTAAACTACTGGATCATGGGTAGTGTGAGTTTCATTGACTTTTTTTTAAAAAAAAATATCAGCTTCAGAAACAGAGATACTTTGGGTGCTGAAGAGCCAAAAGCAGAGCCAAGGTGACAAAAATCTCTCATGCATCGTGTTCTTTACCGGGTATTGTTAAAGCCCACAACTTTTGTCTATTAACGATATATCATGATCACCACACACGTATATATATGAATCTGAAAGAGCATTACGACAAGACATCTTCCTAAGGTTCTACTAGCGCAAGGCTTAGTACACTGTCAGTAACATCATAATGGGGTCTTGTAGTTTTTGGTTTTTGGAAACTGAGATCTTCAACAGATTCTCTCTCTGTCTTTGTTTACGTCTGTTTACAGCGTGTCATTGGTTGTATTCTACTTTTATGGAGGTCCTTTCGTAAGTGTTACGTCTTTACTAGCTACCTAATCGATTTGATCAACTAGATCTGAGTTTGGTTCGATTTGTTGCTTTTTCTTTGCCGAGGGTTTGCATGCATAGTCGTAACAACATATCTTAGTATGACTTCAAAATACTGAGGAAAACACTTTTGAAACAAATACAAAAGAAAAGATCAAAATACAAAAGAAATTTATGAAAACTAGTTAGTGGTGACTGCAAGATGCAATCTAATATACATACACATTAGCACATATATATGAAATGATACATCACGCATTGATTTTGGTAAAAGTGAGAAACATTCTCTTTTAGGTTCACTCATTAAGAAGAGAATACAGATTCGTGTTCTTGACACGAACAGCTCATCAATCACAACTGAATTAATTACTTTTAAAAAATGTTTACGAATAGGTTTATTTTTTTGCATTAACTTTTTACTGGCCATATGAATTAAACGACGAAGAATTTTACGAATAATACACTATCACACATTAAAAAAGAATTCTAAAATGCATCTGAAATTAAAACCCGTTACTGAAAAGTGAAACAAATTAAAGACTATGCGTAATATGTTTCCATATATATCAGCCATAAGAAGATTAAAGTCTTTTTTTAGGCATGAATATCCGCAAGCTTTTCGCTATTTAATAAGTTGTCATTTTCAACTCTTTTTGCACTCTCATTATATGCCATTAAAGTGTATATTAAAAAAAAAAATCATTTATAAAAATGAAGAATAATTAAGGAAACTAAAAATGAAAACTAGATATAATGTAAAATTAGGTTAAAAAAGATATCAAAATAATATTATGATAAAGAAGAGAAAAGTGTAATTACATAATATACGATGAAGACAGTTAACGTAAATATTTATTTTGAAATACTGTTTTTCCATTACGAAAACAGCTTCAAAAAGTAAGAAAACGCAGTAGCCAATTAGTAGACAAAAAAAGAAGAAGAAGTGAAGATAATGATAATACAATCTCAGTGAATGGTGCCGACATGGTCACTCAAATATTTTGGTTTGCCCTACTCAAAAACAGTAGAAGATCTCATTCCACCACATGGACCGTACACGTGTCAACAATCATGTAAGATTGAGCCAACAATGAAGAAGATGCCCCCTTTCACTTTCAGCCGCTAAAGCTAATCAGTAATATTCGATGTTTCTTCTAAAAGTTGTTTTTTTTTAAGATTGCGGTTTTAACTTCACAAAACCGAAACTAGACTTTGTGTTTTCGGTGATATAATTTTCTCAAATATATGAATAATTGTTATCAACAACACATACATATGTAAATTTGGTTTGGCCAACTTCAAACTTCAAAGTTTATCATGTACACAGAGTATTTTGTTATTGGCCTGCTAATACGACATTCAACACGTTTACTTTTGCAAAAATTGGACAATAGTAATTAAATGGGCTGGGCCTCTTCAATTTTGGTGTTTTTATTTTTCTTTGACGGCGTTCTGTGGACCACTTCAACCTCTTTTTCACAATTTTCTTAATCTTAATACTACTATTAAACTGCTTAACTACTGTGTATCATAAAAAGCCAAACTTGCACAATTTTCTTATCCACATAATGTATAAATGTATTTTTATTTTGCTTACAAGTTGGGTTCGTAAACTAACCTCGATCGGGTTTCCTCATTAATTTGTGGGATCTGTTTTCTTATTTTTATTTACTTTAAAGCTTTTTCTAGTTTCAATCTTTAACACTCTCGATATATTTTAGTATATCACAAATTGCGAAAAAAACTTTTTTAAAAAAACAAGCTTTGGTCTTTCCTTTATTTAGAAAGAGTAAAATGGGATCATACGTACATATATATCAATCTACAAAATACTTCTTATCAATTTTAATTTTAGACCTTTGTTCAGTAAATAGAAACTGACGTTGATGGAAAAATTAGTATCTGACCCTCTCTCTGTTTATACTTTATAGTATGATACTACTATCTCTTAGACTTCAGACTTTTATTTCGATTTGATTACAGAATATTAATAAAACAAGCTAATAGTCTTGATATATATAGAGCATTTTATAATATTTAGGTCAACTGCTTTTATAGCGTTTCTGTTAATTATTGCATAAAGATGTATGTGATAGTATACTTCAAAGATTGATTATTCGGTAAAATATGTTACGAGTTAAAACACATTTTTCCTGATAAAAAATATATTTTGAAATGATTAATTTGGACAAAGAGAATATCTTTACCGGTCAAATGTAATCAATAAAGCGATCCCCCAGATCTCTTCTTATTATATGCTAATATCTCTTTACACTATTTACCTAACTTGAGGATTCTCCAAAATCGTCTTTGATCTCACCGTTAAAGTTTTGGGGATCAACCACAATATCAGATATCTTTAGATCCCAATATATATTTGATTAACCATTTCATGATCATTACAAAATGGAGTATATATATATATATATATATATATATATATATATATATATTTGTAGTAAGAACAAATTCTAATTAATCTCCTTGAAATATTAAATATTTTTTTAGTTATGTGGACCATCACCAAAAACGCGGAGATAAGAAATATATATGAAAGAATTACAATTATATTTTATGATATATTAATACAATTGGGGGGTAAAATTAAATTAAGCAATTAATTAACTAGTTTAAGAAACATTAAGTAGGAAAGTAGACATTTCAAGCAATGGTACTGTGGTTATCCCCCACCACGAGGCTATTATGTTAAGGGTTATGCCAACATATAGAATATATATCATGAGCGTTTTATTTAGAGGCGATTTAATTATTCTTTTTACCTTTATCGAATATATCGTTCAATAAAACCATTCATTTTTAAGCGATCCTTACAATTAATATGGATTAGTTATACGTTGTAAGAACATGAGGAAATTGTGTAAATACAGTACTATGTCATTCCAGTTAAAAAAGTTTCAGACAAGAATTGCAACGATTACAATATCTTCAGTCGCTCACATCGGGCGACGTTTTTCAATATCCCAAACATACATTATTTGTACTTAGGGAAGAGATCATCTCCGATCCGAAGAAATCTCATATAGTGATAAAAGTAAATAGTATTCAATTAAAAAATGGTAGCTACATATCTATGTAAATAAATAATTATTTATAAAAAGTCGACTGAAACAAAATATTACAAAAATGTATATCGTCGGTACTCGGTCGAACATGTCAGAACGGAGGAGAAAGCAAACTCACCAGAGAAATAAATAATGCAACAAATGATAGCGGAAATGATTGCTTCGATATATATACTAAGATTTTTTTTTCAGGTCTGATATATCTTTTAATAAATATCAAAACCATTTATGTATTCGCTTAAAAAAAAAACAAATACGGCAGAAACATAAATAAAATTATAAACCGGGGAACTGCACTTACTAAATGTATATGCTTTTCTATGAGGTTCAATAATTTATTTATTTTTTTCCTTTTTTTTTTGGGGTCAAGCTAAGGAGTTGTCCTTAACATTAAGATATGTATACATCACATATTCACATACAGTTAAATGACAGATAAATAATTGCTTTTTGTTTGTAGCTAGACTGTAGAGTAATTTGTTTGAGTCTCACAAGACTTGTGGCTTTCACACAGATCACAAATATACATTTTAGTCAATGTAAACTTATTATTTGGGTTTGTCGTTCCAATTGCATGCATGCATATCATTTGGCTGCATTCCTTAAATGTGAGAAGTATATTCCAACAACTAATTTAAATGAGAAAACTCAAAAAAAACAAAAAAAAATGGAGAAAAATAAACAACTATTGATCTTTGTGTGTGGTAGAATGTTGAGAGTTGTGGCTTTGTATTGTCCATATACAAGTACACCTGGTCCTCACACGTTCTTATCTTGCAAGTTAATTATTAACACATATATACCTTTGAAAATTATGTCATTAATTTCGACATGATGTATATATAAAATGTATACCTAGACTAAGACCTATATATATAAAAGAAAAATCAAGTGAAATAACATTATCAAAATTACCCATCAAAAACTTAAGATGGTCTCTATCGTGACAATATTGGTTGCATTATATTGGTTCAGTCTCAAAAAGTTTCGCATAGAATCCATATTATATCTACGTGTGCGGGAGCATTGTTTTGTAATCATATATGAAGGTTGGACCGAAGAAATTGATATCATTCACTGGTTTACAGTTATCCATGTGAATTCCATAGTGATCATCATCATTGACCAGATAAAGTAAGATAGTACTGTATATACACACATTGGTAG